TGAAGAAAAATCGTAAATGCTGGGAATCTGAATTCAAAACAGAAGATGTAGCAAAGGCACCATAAGTTACTCAGCATCTAAAAGAGAAGGAAAGGTGAAACAATTTGGCTGTAACCCCATATCGAAGATGAATCACACTGAAATGATAGCCTATCTGTCTCTTTCAGTTGCTGATCAACCTGTTGTTAAAATAATAATAATAATGCTTGCATTTGATATAGTGCTTTTCACATCTTCTCGACGTCCCAAAGTGCTTCACAGAATAGACTGTAAAGTGTACTGACTGTATATTTGTGGGGGAACGCGGCAGCCAATTGTTCAGAGCAATGTCCCACAAACAATCGTGGGTTAAAAATGACCAATTTATTATTGTTTGTTTTGGAGGATTATTGTCAGGGCTGTGTGTGGAGTAAGGAAACTTCCCCAAGGTTTCCCGGCCGGGAATTGAACCCAGGTCTCTCACTTGCAAAGCGAGTGCTCTAACCGCTGAGCTCCATACACTTGTAATGAGAGAAGCATTACGTTCTGAACCAGAACAACATGTGCTGCTTCACAGAATAACATTTTATTATTATTAGGATGACACTTTTATTCTATTGCATACTTGTTCAGAAATAAAAGCACCTTAAGCTTTCATTTTCATTAAAAAGCCATTTTACATTGTATCCTTAAATATACTGCCCTACTTTGTGAAGCACAACTAAAATAAGCACTTAAATTACTTTGGTGATGAGTTGGAGCAATCCGGTCTCAAATGAGCATCGAGAATCCAACAAGCAAATTGAAGAGACTAAATTTCAGACAACAGAATGGAAATTGCTGCTTCCAATTTTCATTTGAGCTGCTGTCGAGCTCCAGTTGTTGCCAACAATCAGTAACAGCATCCAACAAAATTATTCTTCAGTACAAGCGCGTTAACAGATGTCAACAACAAGGTACAATGATACAAAGCCTAGTCCCACACATTTTCATGAAATCTGATCTTTCTCCTTTTTAAAGGAAAATTCGTAGACAGTCAGCAATGTGATATTGCCACATTCTAATTTTTTGGTTGACCTCTGAATGGGAGCAATTGCCAACTGTTTATTGGTCATTCACTGCCTGGTTGTTTGTGGGACATTGATATGTGAAACTGGCTGCCGCATTTTGCTCACACATTACGCAGTCAATCCATTTTACACTATATCCGTGAAGTGCTTTGAGACGTCTGAATGACATGATAAGGTGCTATATTAAATGCAAGAATATTATTATTAAACCCACAAGTTTGTGTCAACAAACCAGTTCCAGTTCAAAATTGTGATCCTCAGCCCAAAGGCTTTCTGCAATAATTTTATTTTCTCTCATTTTTTTTTTTTGGGTGGGTCATCTTCTCTTCACTCATTCAGTTTCTTTATTCCCAGCACCATTCTTCCTGACATTATCCCGATAGACCATCTGTTCCCAGGACTCAGCCATGGCTTCTTTTTCGGTACAAGAGCGATGCTGTCAGATTCACCTTCTTAACTCCCCTCTCCCCACAGTAGACCTATTACCTAACATGATAAATCCGATCTGGACAGGAATTCAATATGAAGGAGCATTGGTATTACATAATCATAGAAATTTATAGTGTAGAAGGAGGTCATTCAGCCTATTGAGTCTGCACTGGCTTTCAGAGCAAGGTGTTTATTCAGTCCCATTGCTCTGTCTTAGCCCTATCCTTCTTCATACCTCTAGCTTTCATATACCTGTTTACTATCCTCTTGAAACCCACAATGAACTCTGCCTCTTCCACCTTAGTCGGCAGGGCATTCCACATCCTAACAACTTCCTGAGTGAAAATTTTTTCCTAAGCTCTCCTTTTACTCCTCTTGTGACTATCTTATGGAGTCCTGTAGCTCAGTGGTTAGAGCACTCGCCTTGCAAGCGAGACACCTAGGTTCAATTCCCAGCAGGGCGAAACCTTGGGTAAGTTTCCTTACTCCACACGCCTAATAATAATCCCTCCAAAACAAAACAATAATAAATTGGTCATTTTCAATCCACGACTGTTTGTGGTACACTGCTGTGCGCAATTGGCTGCCGCATTTTGCCCACAAATATACAGTCAATTCACTTTACAGCATAGTCTGTGAAGCGCTTTGAGACGTCTTGAAGACGTGAAAAGCGCTATATCAAATGCAAGGATTATTTATCTTATAACTGGGGCTCCGATTCACTGCCTGCCTTTCCAGTGAAAATAGCATTATCAGAGAAAACTTTTCATCTTACACACTGGGGCAAGACATTAATAAGTCTAGTAATAGTTTGAATTTTCTCTTGAAATTATGTGCAAATTCTAGAAATAACCAAAACTTTCTTTTTGTGCACTACTTTGTTTTCCCATCATGTGCATTTTTTTCAGGGAAACTTGCTTTATGATCTGTTGAAGCTAAACGTATCAACATATACTGTTCCCGATGTTACTAGCACATTAGCGCAATGCTCTACTCCCAGCACTATCTGCTCAGTACCCTTATACAAATGTCATTTTGTTGTTGTGCTTGGTGTGACTTCATTCCATCCTATGTTTTTTTTGATCACTACGGTAAGAGCTTATTGGCTATAAATATGGGCATGTGATTTACTTTTGCCTGAGAGTAAATCCCCATTAACAAATGTATTTCATTGTGTATTTGGTTAGTTAAAGGAGGAATTCACAGAAACAAGGTGTGTACCTAGCTTAGTACTATACTGTAATGTACTTGGCGCCACTCACTGATTCCTCTCAGGATTCTGTGATGCATTTTCAAATATGAATTTCAGACAATCAGGAAAAGTCTACAGTAAATTTACAATTTGTAAAATAACATACCCCAATCCAGTGCTAACATTTCTTATCCACACAGCCTGTGTTTGCATTTTACCCCCACAAGCACAACAGATGTTACTTTGCTAATAAATGCAAGGGACTAGCAAATAACCCACTTATATTTGTAAGCACAGAGGCTTTTTTCTCCTTTCAATGCTTAAATTCTTCACTCCATAGAGTGCCAAAAGTCATAATAGAAGATGGAATGTTTTCCAGAAATTATTTTAACACCTTTAAATAAGCATTTAATAAGCAAGGGAAGAAAGACTGTCTAACTCTAGTCACACAGGCACATATATATAAAACATCTGCTAAGGTATATTGCAAGCAGACTGTCAGAAGTTTCAATGCATTTGTGCAAAGCTTACCACTGACTGAAATTTCCTAGATTATATCCATAACAAATGGATATGCTTATCAAATGGATGTCAGTCCTTTTACCATAAAACCTATTGATGCATTTTAATAATGAAGGAACAAGAGAAACAACCAAAGAATGGCTTACACTTAACTGACCAGTTCCCCCTTTTTTTAAGTTTACTTATTTCCTGGGGTGGGAGGTGGAGAAAGGAAAAAACACCTTTCACTCTAAATATTGAATTCTGATTAGGATTCCTCAATGACTTTGAATCACAAATTGTCAATAACTTTCAATAACTGGAAGTACGTCATCCTGACCCATTGGAACTCTGGTTGCAGACTGCTATGGAGAAGAGTTCCTGCTATGGAGAGGAGTTCCTGTGAATTGTAGTTGGCAGTTCCAGTTACTCGAAGCAGTCAGCATCTGCAACTCAACGGCTCTTACTGAGGAATCCTGGTAAGAATTAGACTCTAATAAATGTCATCTGAGATCAGAAAGGTTGTACCTTTTAGGAAATGTGAAATCTATGGGCTATGTTGGGCCAATTTCAGCAGTAAATTTTCAGTGAACAGACACTGAAATCACAAAACATTCACAACACTTGCTTCAAGTAAGATAGGCTTTAGAATTTCATGCACTGATGATTTAGAAAGGTGCTACATGTTATTTATTTGTCCTGTGGTGCTCTTGATAGGTGGCAGTGAACAATAAAACACCTGTGCATTGTTTGTTTGCCTCCTGTTTGACGTACAGATCTGGCCTTATATGAAGAAAAGGAAACATAAAACCTGGATAACTCAACAGAGATTTGGGCACTGAATGAGAGATTCTCCTCCCCCAATGCTCCCCAATTATTTTCAAAACTAACCATGAAACCACATTCAATCCCAAAACAGAAAAATAATTTGCACTCTTCACTATTATCAATCACATTCAAGTAAAAATCATTCCATTGCCAATGTTTCACTACCTAAATTATCTTGCTAAGCAAATATGTGCATTCCATTGCTTTTGCTGTATATGTTACAGTTTGAAGAACCAATAATGAGTATTCTGCCACTCGTGTTTGAGGACGACCTGTTCTCACAATAGTTTTCTGTGCCTTTTGAAAAATAATCTTCAACTCTTCAAGTTCAATATGCTCTGATTGACAATGCAGTTAAAAGCAAAAAAAATCAGTTACTTTCATCTTCCTCTTCTACACTATGAATCCAAAATGACTGTTATTAGAGAACGTTATTAACTCCAGGAAATCTGCAGCTGCTTTTAAATAATGCCGTATTAAAATTTGCTGTTGCTTTGAAAACTTAATTCCTAATGGAATCATCTGTAAAGAAATAATGGTTTTGTAGCCCACAATGTCAATTCCTTGTTCCAGCCAGCTATCGGCAAACTGTTGCAAGTTATATGAACTGGCTCCTATGAATCTTTGTAGAGAAAAGAAAGTGAAGATATTTTCTTTCCAGCTTTTCTTTTGTTCATGTCGTACAACACAAATCAACACATTCACAACAAATAATAATTCAGCTTTACGAATGACTGCAAATGGAAACAAATTAAATTAGGATAGAAAACATCTGTTTCTTCAAGATCAAACGATTGGTTTCCTTCAAAGCATTTTGCAGCTACTTTCATTAATTGGGATGCATAGCTGTACACATTTTGAATGAAAAGAGAATGAGAAATGAATAGCAAAGTGCCTAGGTTTTTACATCATTGGATAAGCAACTCATCAAATGGTCATTCAATAGCAATAGGTATCTTCAAGAATTACTGTAACAAATAGAATGAAAAGGTGAGACCTACCTGTTTGGCTGAGCTGAGAAGTGCTACGACTGCGTCTTGACAGGCCGACGATAGCCACCATCTTGGCTCCAATGCTCGATCGACGCTTCTTGCTACCCGTGACAACTGTACCCACTGCCGTGTCGGACTGGCTGCCATCATTTTTCTCCAAGCTGCACATGTCTCCGCTCACGCTGGTGCTTTTCGTCATATTCTTTCCTGAGGGCCCCATCTGTCTGCTTTGCAGTTTGGATGTAAAGACACTGTGAGGCGTTGGTACAGATAAATAGCATGGGCAGAAGTACGGGGTAAAAAGGAAAGAGGAAGATACAAAAGGACAGGTTTCAGCCAGAGGGTCTGGGAAATTGCAGGGTCAAAGTGATTCAGCTACAAGGTATTCTAAAGCAAGGATAACACAGTTTCACAAGTCTCTACACTAGTAATGAACTATAGAAACTACTGAATAAAGTGGCCAATGTTCCTAACATAGGATGAGATAGCCAACTTTTGAACACATGCAGCAGTAGATTTTATATGAAAACGTTTGTATGTTAGCATTAAGGAGATACATGAAAAATTTAAAATGTATCGCTTTGTCATTAAATCATGCTTGATAATGACATGTTAAACAGCTAAATATTCCCACTTGTAGATTTAAATATTACCAATAAAAATAGTTCTTCTTTAAAATAAATGTTGGTTTGCTACTGTTATTCTTGAAATATTTGAGAACAGATCCAGTGTTAATAGCTTACAAGGGTTTGCAAGAGCCCACTGATCCGGGAAGGATTACACTCACACATGCTCTGTTATGATGCAAGTTCAATGAGGTGAAAATGTAAGGGCATTGTTAATGGAGTTCGAATGGAGAAAACATTTTTTTGTTTAGGCCATAAATGTTACATTATTGACAGCGTGAACTTTCAATGGGAAAAGCCCAAGACGCATGAAACATTTTTTAAGAGCTAGATTGCTTATTTTAGAGGAGAGAATTTATACTTGTACAGAATGTAGATTATATTGCCAAATTATCAAACTTGTTTTTGGAGTTTACTAATGTGCGAAAGAAACTTTCTGATCCTTTGCATTGGGACTAATGAAAAAAATGTCAAAGTGAAGCATTGTCTTCATTAATATTTCTCACCTGCAGAGACTGAAATAACTGCAGTAAGCCTTGCACTCGGCAGTACACGTGAGATTCCTGACATGTGGTTACAAAGGGCAGATCTTCCTCATGTGTATCAGCAGAAATTTGCTCTAAGAAGTCGAAAGCGACGGTCTGGAACAAGTCCTCATGACAAAGCTAATTGCAGGGGTACGATAATACTGAATTCTCTATGAAACTGTTCAGATAAAATCTATGCATATTACACTTTTCTTTACTACACTGATCTCATTTAATCCTTATCCACTCTGGCCTTGAGGGATTTCAGAGAAGTAACCAGCAATACTGCAGTAAAACCACAACTTGTTCTAGCTTCTGTGCAAATGTCTGTCTAAAAGTGTTAATATCCAAGCTTCAAGCCCTAAAGCTAGGGCTGCATTTATGAATCGGTTGCCAAATACCAGCAATCTGTCGGCAGTTAATTAAGATAAAATCTTCCATAATCCTGGCCAATAAATTAATGAGCGTTTACTGAATGCTCTCAGCTCATCGGACAAATACTGGGGTCCAAAATATGCAAAGCAGATGGAGTTGCATTAATTGCAACTTCCAGCTTGCAAATCCCTCATTGTGAATTTTTTTGGGGGGCGGAAGGGAGGCAAAATTTGCATATGATAAGCTGGTAAAGTCCAAACAAAGCTTGTGAATGAAATATTGGTGGGAAATGGCAGTTGCTTTGCTCACCTGCCCCATTGTTGGACCCTGCCCGATTGTGAATATCACATTTTAGATCCAACTACATTCACTATTAAAGTGAAACAAATTGCTGTATAGGAAATGTGGGAGTATATAACAGCAACAATCTGGAATATACTGCCTGAAAGGCTGGTGGAAGCAGAGTCAATAACTTTCAAAAGGAAATTGTATATATATTTGAAAAGAAAAGAAATGCAAGGCTATAGGGAAAGAGTGGGGGAGTGGGACTAATTGGATAGCTCTTTCAAAAAGCCACCACAGACACGATGGGCGAAATGGCCTCCTTCTGCGTTGTAGGATTCTGTGATTCTATAATGTAACCTATAATTACCTAACTATCTTGTGGAGGATAAAAATACCAGGAATAATGGAAATCAAGGTCTTCACCGAAACCAATAATATACATTTCCTTTTCAGGTTGACTACCTGTATAGTGTTGCCTTTATTTTAGTCTCGTGAAGAATGCTAGTTTGCTCTTAAAGTAACAAAGCGATTGTTATATGAGATATAGTAGTCATTGTCCTTAATCACTTGACGGATAACACATGTGGGTGGCGGGTATACAGAACTCCTTAATTACATTCAGTTTAATTATATCTGTTCCTTAATCAACAAAGGCATCAAATTTGATTAAATTTAAAACCTGCCCCTTTAACAACAGATTCAAAACTGAGCCCCACTCCTCCCTGTCCCGGATTGTGGATGGTTTCATCCTCAGGCTCTTCAGACNAAAAAAAGGCTCCGTTTTTTGTTTAAACAAGCCTGGAGCTGGACAGACAATTATTCCCAGCCATGGGAGTAGAGCTTCCGCGATGGGAACAATTTCAGGAAATCAATAAATTCAGGCCGCAAAACAGATTTAGAATCTGGAGAGTCTTTGGATAGAACTGTTCTCCTGCACACACAGGGCAGGCGTTCAGTCCAAAAACAGGATAGGTGACCATTTCAATCATGCCATTTAATAAACCATTCCTTAATAAACAAACAGAATTCTTTATGAATACCATCAATTTCTGTACTACAATTGTCGTGCTGTGCATTTCAGTGTTAACAATTTTAATAATCGTAATAATCTTTACAAAAGCAGAAGTCGCTGGGACCACGCAGCAGGTCAGGCAGCATCTATGGAGAAAGGAAAGTGAGTCAACGTTTCGGGTCCACGACCCTTCGTCAGAACTCAACCTTCCTTTGTTTTTTAAATGGTGCCACAAGATCTTTAACGTCCACCTGAATAGGCAGACGAGACCTTATTTTAGCAGCCGATTAGAATGACGGCAACTTTGGCCATGCAATGAGTGTCAGCCTAAACTACATGAGCCTCATTATGGGGCTTGAACCCACAACCAGTCAGAAGCAAGAATGGTACCAATTGAACCAGAGTAACATACAGGATTTAAATAATTGTACTTTTTATGTTATTACAATATTAAATTAATGTGAGCATGGGGGTTGAAATCACTGGGGATAATTAACGAATGGAATGATTTATGAAAACTGTAGTATGCAACCCCAAGAGACAATAGATTCAGTCAATTTTATAACTATTACTGAATGCGTATGCTACCTGAAACTGGTAGTTTACTATAATGCAAAAAGGACTGTTTGTCTCCTTGAAACAACAACAACAAGATTGCATTTGTACAGCGCCTTTCACGTCGGGAGGACGTCTCAAGGCGCTGGACAGTGTACATTATTTCAGACCCGAGCTGGGGTCAGGGGAGGGAAGGGGGGCTTGGCCGATGGCATGGTCGAAGAGCAGGGTTTTGAGGCGGGACTTGAAGGAGAATAAGGAGGGGGCGAGGCGGAGTGACTGAATTCCTACTGAATAAGGGGGCTTTTATTCCTTAGTTTTTTACTCTTAAATCCTTAATATTTCCTCAGTTTATTTCAACGTCTTTATAAGTCACAGTGTTGTGACATTGTGATGTTAACCGTATGGTGATAAGTAAATGGTGTTATTTATTTTCCAGCATGCAACACTACCACTGTACTATACTGTACCATATTCCTAGGAACAGATTTAGTCCACTACAGAATTATTATAATTTTCATTAATGCTTAATTGTCAGTGAAAATTGAGGAAAGTTCAGATAATGCTAACAATAAGAATAATAAAGGAAAGTAATCATATTTTGTACATCTATTGAATATTGCCCTTTCAGCTGGATTCATAAATCTCCAGAGTTGACAGCTGAGAGTACAGGTCAAGCTTTCAAAATATTTTTTTAAAAATTCAAAGCTATTTATCAAGGAAACAAAACAAATGCATTTGTTTATCAAAATAAAACTGACAAGAGTGACATTACTGCTTCTCTCTTGTAATAGCTTCCCTGAAATAATTGCCAATAGATGCTGAACCAATCCTTCTGATCCCACATCTGGTCCCTGACCAGGACCACTTTCCTCCACCTCCAAACCATTGCCCGACTCCGAATGTATCTTACACTCAATGCAGCCGAGATCCTTGTCCATACTTTCATCACCTCCCGCATTGATTATTCCAATGCCCAGTCTCCCCAGCTCAACTATTCATAAAATTCAACTAATTCAAAACTCCCTCTGCTCATATACTCACCTGCTCTAACCTCCATACCCCAAACACACCAGTCTTCGACAGTTTCCACTGGCTCCCTACCACAGAATACATAAACTTAAAGGTCCTCACACTCGTCTACAAATCCCTTCACGCCCTTACACCTACCGATCTCTCCGACCTACTTACTCCCTACTCCGTTACCCACCACCTCTGCTCGGCTCGTTCCGACCTCCTGCTTGTCCCTTGCACCATCGGCAGACTTGCTTTCAGCCACTATTCCCTGAAACTTTGGAACTCTCCCTCAATCCCTCTGCCTGGCCCCCACCTTCCCCTTTTTTAGATCATTCCTGAAAACTTTCCTCTTTTACTTTCACTTCAGACTGAAGTTCAACTAATGGCAATAAAATGGCAATAGATTCCGCAAAATCAGATTTTCTTTATATTTGTTGTGTGACTTTTTAACAATCTATTTGGAGTAAAGTGGCTCTAATTTAATATTACACTTAGTTTTCTCCTCTGGATCTACAAACTGAAAACAATTACTAACAGTGCCACCAATAAGGGGACACTTGTCTCATTGAATGGTGGTTGTCTGTACTGAAACCACAAGCTACAATCTCTGATGTTACCATTCCAGCTGGATTCATAAGTCTGCAGCATTACATCTACAAGGTCAGGTCAAGCTTTCAACAGAAAAATATAAAGATATTCATCACCTCAAAGGAAAAAAACACAAATGCATCATCCACTCAGTTAATAAAACTGACAAGACTGAAACTAATTCCTAATATATACTAAACCAACAGAACTAAATTCAATAATATCTTGTTTTTGTACAGCCACTGTCACACAATGTAAACATCTCA